ATGACAATAATGGCTGAATGGGGTATAAAAGGACACATCTCAAGCATACGAGCTCATTTCTTTCCTTTTCTATTAGCAAGACACTTCCATTTAGTCTCTCAAATTATCAAGGTAAGCATCAGGGGCGTACCCAGGATTTTGTTAAGGGGGGTGTCCAATACATCCAATGGGCTATACATTTTTTTTCATAATGTACTGCATTGATAGCTAAGTAGTTCTTCGTGAGTCTAAGACACTGGGCTTAATCTTAGCTATTTGTAATAGCAAATACCAAATGAAACAAATTATAAATCAACGTTCATATTTTATTTAAAGAATAAGTATAAAAATAAATAAATAATATAAATACAAAAACAAAGACATACAAAAATAAATAATACAAAATAAGCAAATACTTGTTCACATTAAAGCTGAAACAAGTTCTCTCCATCAATCAGTGAATTTGATTCGCCGCTTGTCTTTGCAAAATATGTTGATAATATTTTCTACATTCAAATTGGTTGATTTATCACGGTGAATATGAATCACAGCAAGATCACTTAAGCGTTTATCACTAATGCTATTTCGCAGTGTGGTTTTTATTCTCTTCATTGTTGAGAATGATCTTTCAGCTGTGGCGACTGTGACCGGTAATATTGCAAATATTTGAAATAAGCAATTTAAGTTAGGATAAAATTCTTTAACTGGAACTAATGCTGTTAAAGTGTTGATGATATTCGCTGGTCGTTCACGTTCTGGAATCTTTTTCCATTTCTGTTGCCACATTTCAAACTCACCAATAACAACATCAATATTATTTGATCGTAAATCACTGCGATAAAATTTAAATACATCTATGACGTCATTTAATTTTTTATCAACAACGGTTGATGGCAACAAATTAACAATATTAACAGCAATTTGCTGATGTTTGCTAAATCTCTGTTCTAATAGTCGTAGTGTTGTATCAATAAAATTTCCATAAATACATTTTAAATAATCAATAACGGTTCTATACTTGTTTGTTCTTGAAATTTCCAACTTAATGTCATTATCCTCTGAAAAACTCTTCAAATCATTAACAAGTTCATTGATTTTGTCGTCATTGTACTTTAAATCAGCAAGATGAAGAGCTACTTCTTGAATATTATCATAACATTGAATTAAATCACAGGTTTTGCTTTGGAGCATTTCTGTATAAGGCTTTAATATTCCAAATACGCGTGAAACAACAAATAAACATATAACAAAATCTAAATCTCTTATAGATTTTAAATATGCACGAGAATTTGCACTGGTTTCTAAATCAGCTGTTTCCACCATATATTCCAAGAACACAACCACACTTGAAAATAATTGTTTAAAAACTAATATTGAAGTATGTTTTTCAACCCATCGATGTTCAACTAATTTGGCTAATTTCTTTCGTTTCGTGTCACTCTGTGTAGCTTTTACTGCATTTTTTAAAAGGCTTTGCCTTTTTGGTGATGCACTAATAAATTTTATAACAGTTTTAACAGTACCAAATAATAATTGTATATTCCGATCATCACATGCATCACATATGGCCAAATCTAATGAATGACTAGCACAATGAACATAAAGTGCCTTTGGAGCAATATCGAGAATAAGCTTTTGAACGCCACCAATGTGGCCAGACATGACGGCACAACCATCATATCCTTGACCTAAATGTTTTACATACTTGAACATTATAAGCATAAGCTTAAAAATAAATTAAATGCTTACCTCTTAAGTAAGCTAAATCAAGACCAGCTGATTGTAAAAAAGAAATTATAAGTTCAGATTGACCTTTTGCTGAACTATCAGTAATTGGAATGAAGCCAATAAAATCTTCTGTGATAACTATTCGATCATCATCATTACATAAATAACGAATTGATAACGACATTTGTTCAACTCCAGCGACATCAGAGGTTGCATCGACTAAAACAGAAAAAAAAGACTTTTTTTCAATGATATTGCTAACAATTTGTGCTCTAATGATATCAGCGCAAATGCTAATTAATTCATTTTGAATTTTGGGGCTCATGTACATTGCATTTTTGGAGCACGTTTTCAAATGATCATCTAATATCGTATCACCACTTTCTACACGGAAAAGAATTAATTCTTTAAAATTTCCTAAAATAATAGTAAAAGTTAAATTCACTTCTTTCGATTGCAAAAAAAATATACCTAAACCAGTGGATTTATGATCAATACCGTCATCATCATGACCTCTGAACGCTAAATTTTGCTTGCCAATAAAAAGAATACACTTAATAATACTTGATAAAATTTTTCTGTTTGACGCTTCTTGTTGTTGATATTCACTATCTAATATATGATCAATAGATTTACTTGTATCCGTATAATTGTTAATAAATAATTCAGCTTGTTCTTTAGAAAACAAATGATAATCAGTTTTTTCGTGAGATCGAAAATATTCATTAGCTTTATTTAATGAAGTTAGCGGTTTAACAACGAGTTGTCCAAGAGCATTTTTAGCTGGATCATTTGGTGATGATTTTCTTTGGAACAAAATGCAATAGCGGCATAAAACACCTTGAAGAATACTAGAATAACTAAGCCACGGGTATGTTGTTAACCAAGAATGTTGACAAACTGATCGCATCTTTTGATTCTTGTTAACTTGAGGAAATTTGTATTGAATAGATGGTTTCCATGGATCGATTAATGCAGCATAAATTTCACCAGTTGGTATGCAATCTTTATTAATAAACAAACTGATATCCTTTTTAGCTAATGCTTGGACATTGTTACCAGTTAAAGTTTCATTTTCATGGTGATTTGACTTTTTTCTCAATAAGTCGTCATTAATTTCTAATGTTGTCACAATTTGTATTTCATCAGGAGTTATAACTGGTGCTGTCATAATCTGACATTCATCAAAAGTTGCACTCGATGTTGTCGTAGCTTGTGTTTCATCAGAAGTTATAACGAGCGTTGGTGATGATTCGGGCTGTTCTGTTGGCGTAGTCACAGGTGAATTTAACCTTTTTCTTTTATTCGAACACAAAAACGCGGATAACCTTNATTTGATTTATAAACGTGAACGATAAGGTAATAATTAGTTGTTTTTGTTATAGTAAGCCTACCACTTCTTTCGTGTTTTCCCTCGTTTGAAGACAAAAGAAACGAGTACGCTACCAGTACGATGAAAAAAAGCAAAGAGATAATAGAACCATCATTAACATGATAGTATGTGACGAAATGAAACACTCTTTCTGACAAGAACGGTATTCACTACCAAAACACCAACTTCTGTCAGCCGAAACAGAACGAAAAGGAGTGATAAAAAAGACAGATTGAAAAACAAACAATGCAAGCACTTAAACAGTATGTCTGCCAATGTTGTGAATCTGTCAGAGTGAGATTCTATCACGCACATACTTTACCGCTTGATAAGCTATACTTTGATATATATATACACCAGAGAACACATGAACTTTCTAGGAGAATCTTAGTTCAGTTCGATTTATTGACATACAAAATATGACATATGACCATTGATGTGTGTGATCAGATTACTAAGTCAATGGCGCAGATTACTGTAAAAATATGCCATAACTATGTCAATCAATCCATTTTCTAGATCAGTTAGACCATCAGTGACATATCTGCGATTATGAAAGAATTTTGCTTGAAAAAACGTTATAGAAATATCCACTCAAATATTTCAATATATGTGATTGGTGACGATTGATCTGAGTAGTTGAGCCCTTTGGACCATTTTTATTCCAACCAAAATCATCTCATTTTGTAGAGAATTTTTAGTAGATATATCTGGGAAAGTTTCAAGTTTGTCATTTGAACTATAAGGGAGAACCAGCATGTACACTGAAGGCATTTTTTTCAGTTTTCTCAGAAAATGAGTAAAACCAGAGTATTTTCATGCCATTTTTTTCGTACTTTATCTATTCTGATTATTGATCATTTATGACCATTTTGTAGAGGAGATTCAGCTGCATCTTTTGATATACTGTAGTTAAAAAAATATGAATCTTCATTGAGTCACAAGATGTATATATGATCGTGTAGAAATATATATAAATTGGATACCCCTTTGTGACAAAATAGCTTCAAGTGATCCACTGTAATATTGTCAACAAAGGAAAAGAAATATACAGAACTATGTAAAAATGAGCGGGCTTTCTTTCTAGAACCAACAGAATCGAATCCAGAGGAGGGGCCAGATTTGCTGTGTTATCCGGCGAGGTCCTTTCTATCTTTCTATGCTATGTCATATGTAATTATTTTTCTGAATACCTATGTAAAAACAATTTAGAATAATATCAGATTAAAGTTTAAAGAAAAAAATATCGATTTTAATTGATTTTTGTTTGGAATCTGTAAAAAAACAGAACATTTTCAGTTGATTTTCATCGATTTTTCTCCCTAAATTTTAATCGATTAGAATCGAAATCATCTATGAAATTTTAATGGAAAATTGATTAAAAGATGTATAATTTTAATCTGATTTTATCCTTAATGTTTTTTTACATGGATAATTTTTGATAAAAAGCAGGATAGAGAATTGCGGTTTGCATCATTCGAAAGAGGAGATAAAGCTGCATTCCAGATATATCTACTCTGTTTATTTGTAAAGTTTTCAATAAATATCTTTTCAATATTTTCTTAAAAATCGATCGTTGACCCTGAAATGTCGAGAACATGTTGGTGGACTTAAGAAAAGTCTACGATAAAATTTTCAACCGAAAACTGTTCCATTCACTAAAAAAAAAATTTAACAAAAATGGTGATCAACTGATATTTCTAACTTCATATTGAATGAAGAAATAAATAATATTGTGCCCTGAATCTTGACATCTTCTCTTAAGTTGACCCACTTCCCCGCCCTCCGAAATGAACTTGGCTGTTTTTTATTCGATTTCAACCAAAACTTCAGAGACTAGAATAGCTTATGGTTAAAATATCTCCAAAAAATGCCAAAGAAATTCATAAGTTGTGGTCAATAGGAATACGGGCGGTTTTCAAGTTGTAGAGTACCATTACGAATAGGACTTAACAGACGTTGATTTTTGAATTTTTCTTCATTTGATTTTTAAAAACGTTTTTCGAAAAATATTGCGTACAGGAATCAACTATTCAGATTTTCTATTTCAGCAAAAGAGAAATTTAAAAATCGAAGTTTATTAAGTCCTAAACCTACATGTCTTCTATCCAATAAAAAAAAATGATCACTTCTATGTTGAATCATTATGGAGAAAAATTTACCCGCGTAAAATGCGTGACAAAAATACTGATTTTGAGAAAAATGACTATTAGAAGTCGATTTTTTTCGAAAAACACCTGATTTATATATTAATGTACAAGATAGACGATAAATATATCATGTGTTCATAGTTTCTTAGTAATTAGTATTTAGAAAAACTTTACAAAATGCTAATTTAAAGAGAAAACAACCTAAAAAGTCAGAAAAGCTTGAAGAAATTTGATGGTAATGAGCGAAGTTTTAGAGGATAAGTTCGTTAAAATGAATTCATTTTTCGATAAACTATAAATATTCTGAAAGAAGAGATTTCGGTGCATCTTTCTCTGATAAAATTTCAATTTCGAAAAATTAGATTTTCTAAGGAACCCTTTAAACCAAACAGGACAAATCATTATAGAGAATTTTGATATGCACCTACGAAAAAGGTTTTTCAAACACTGGGTCTCTGAAATCTTGAAAAATTTCCAGAAAAAATGTTTATTTAGTTTGATAGTTCTTACGAAAATTTTCCTTTTTTTTTTGAGGAGGGATGGAGCTTTAAAAACAACATTATCTAAGAAGTTTTTAATGATCAAGTATAAATACAAATTATTAATTTCGGAAGATTAAAATGAATATAATAAATTCTAGTCGAGTCGCGAATCTTATTTTGTAGAAAAATCTGTGAAAAAACTCACTTCTACATTTTTTTCGTTGTTTTTCAAATACTTTTTTCGAATCGATGATTTTCAACTATTTTGTTGAAAAATTAGGTGATAAATCGCACTTAAATGACTAAAATATGTTATTGATAATAATTAGGAATAGAACATTTCCATAGGTTTTATAGCTGTTTACTCCTGAAAATCGATATTGTAATCAACAGAGATATTCTCTTTTCTTTGAAACTTTACATAAAACATTTAGAAAAATCTTTCTCTATATGATTTGATGTATTTTCAAAGGTCAAAAACGACAGATTTCTATCATGTTCCTATTTATTTATCTCTGATATGAACAATAGTTAAATTCAACTTATACAGTGTTAAAGTCTCACTCTGATTACAAATAGTTTTGGTATTATTGTAAAGAATATAAATATATTTAGTGATTATATTAATAAAAATGTTGCTCGAAATAAAAATATAGAACATGATTTGGGTTTTAAATGTATTACCAGTAAGTATTTAATTAAGAAATAAAAAAATAATTTATTAAAGAAAATTATTCAACGTATAATGTTAAGTGTAATTGAAAGTATTCGAATGAGATTAAAAAAACGTGTTGGTTGTTTTGGTTTATATGGTTATGATTTTATGATTGATCAAGATATGAAAGCTTGGTTAATTGAAATAAATGTTAATCCAGCATTAACAACAAATACAAATACACTTATTCAAGCTATTCCACCTGTTGTTAAAGAATCTATTTGTAAGATTTTTTTTTTGTTTATTTTTATTATTTTGTTTTTTATTTTAAAAGTATTATCAATTGAATGTTTTGAAAAAATTCGTCATGGTCAAAAAATATTTCCATTGAAATCTTTAAAAGGTTTTAAATGTATATATATAATGAATTAGAACGAAAAGATTCATTACCATATATTGAAAAAAAGTGTGCTATAACATCTTTACCAAATACACGAAAAGGACAATTATCACCAATAAATAATTTTCCAACACGTTCAAATACAATGAATTCTGGTAAAATTTTACAAAAACAAAATGATCAAAAAATATTATCTACAGAAAAAGCAATATTATCATATCAAACACGTCAAAAAGATGAACGTCCATATTCAATGAATTATAATGAACGTTTATCATCTTCATTTAAAATAAATAATTCAATTACATATGAAAAAGATTCGATGTTAATTAAATATCAAACAATTCAAAGATATCGAACAAATTTTGAAATTTTAAAACCAGCAACTGTTATTGCTGAAGAATGGGACAATTTAGATGATATACAAAAAAATCGTCTATCAATTGGAGGTTCAAAAAGTCTTATACTTATTTCAAAATGTTCAACTAGAAATAAATCTAATAAAACTCTTCAAACATAGGCATATCCAACAGTTGCATCATCATCATCAATCTATAATCATTTGAATCCCATCATTAATGGACGACAAATTGCTTTGCTTCATACAACAACCATTGGTTAGAATCTTCTTTTATGTTTTCTATTTTTTGTTTTTAACTAATTTTTTTCTTAAAAGAAATTTTTTTTCTCTTTTGTTTTTTTTATGTTTGTTCAAGATTCATTTTTTAAACAACAAGATAAAAATCCATTATCAAAATCATCAAAAACAACAAATAGACATCGAATACAAATTTATAAATTAAGAAAATCAAGTATAAATCGATCTAATTCAGCATCAAATATAAAAGATATCAATAAATTTGAAAATAATCATTTATTTAATCAAAAAAATCTAACACCAATATTAACCAACAAATCATCACTTATTTATCAATTAATGCGTTCAAGACTTGAACCTATATAGTTCGATCAATATCGGCTAATAAACATCAATCACTACGTAAATCATTTATTTATTCATCGTCGAATTTATGATGCAACTGTCTCAATCCACAATTATTTTCTAATACATTCTTTCTTTCATTCTTTTTTTTTTATTTTTATTTATTATTATCCTTAGTCTTTTTATTCCCTTAAAAATTGAATTAGTAATTCAAATACATATTTATTACGACAGTTATTTATAGTAACAAGAAAGAAAATAAATTTTCAAATTAATGAATATGAATAGTAGATCTCTCTTTAGAAATTTTCAAGTGTTTCTTTGACAATATTGGCTTCAGTTAGATTGTTAAATTTTCACTACTAAAGAATTACAATAGATAGAGAGTAAAAAAACTGCTTTTCAGGGAAATAATGCATTAATTTTCAAATGCAAGGGAAGATCTAAATTGATAAATATTACAATATAATCAACGCTTGACCTAGAAATATTGATAAAATAATAATCAAAAATGAAATTCGAAAATATAATCTCAGACAGAGTCTAATTGTTATCGTAAATAAATTCTCAAAAAACCTGAAAACATCAGGTTTAAATCTAAATGTTATATGTTACTTCAGTTCTATTTGTACCACGACAAACACGTATTTATATACGAGACATACAAGAGAAGAGAAAGAGAAATACATATTGTCAAGGTCAACACGAATGACGAAGTCACAAATAGAAAAGAAAAGAAATGAAGTATAACGGTTATACATCGTTATAGTTATGATTAAAAACAATAGAAAAGCTGGAATACAATACATGTATTAACAGGAAAATCTGTTTTTTTTATTTATGATAAAGAATACCAATGATCAGCATTTTCATCTTTCTTTAATAAGATACCGTAGGGTCGAATGGCTTTCTCGTCAAAACGCGTAATGCTTTTCCAATAGAAACTACTCCTCGATCATCATCATGCTTCCTATACTTATTTGGTTCAACACGACATTGGAAAACGATCCGATAGTTCGATTTTGTACTGTCCTTGTTTTTGACTTCGAAGGATTTTATATAGTTAGTTACATCTTGTTCGCAATGTGTAGCCAAATAAATTCCGTTAACATCAGCAACTTTGCCTGCTTTTTTTATAGCTTCATTTTTAAAAATGTCTGCTTTGACTTTGAATTGCAGGAACCCTTCTTCAGTTATATTTTTTGCTACATGGGATATGGTACCATGATAAGCAACAGACTATTCACTTAACACATTTTTCATACCTAACCATAATTTATCTTGAAGGTATTTATGTTCAAATTTTAAGTGTTGACAGATAGACTCACCATAACACAATAAAAAACATTGTGTTAAAAATTAGGTTGAGAAAATTATTTCTGATCAAAATTTTTTTTTAAGCTATTTATTTTCATAATGTTTTCCATGATATTATATCAGCTTTGTATACGTCAGCACTTTATCATTCTTTAACTTTTCATCTGTCAATTGAGGTCTCTGAGGGTTTTTCTGGTGTGACATGGTTGGTTTTTATTACATTTGGTTGTCGATAAGAATTAATACTTCTCCGAGGAATCTGTGGGTCTGTGGATTTGCTCGGTTGTGGACTTGTGTTTTCCGCGAGAGGTCAGTGCCGGTGTGTCGGTCACTTCGAGTTTGAGTGGAGTTCTATGTATGGGGTTTGATGAAGCGAAATCTCCTCTGTGGGGCCCACTGGGTCGCCAAGTTGTGGAGTCAGTCTTGGGCTGCTTTCTGAGCGTTGGGTTTGGGCGCCCTCGCTTTCCGGTGGGGGGGGGGGGGGGGTGAGTCCAGGGCAGTTTTTCTTGGATTTATGGGGTACGGGGGATGGTGTGGGGGGGAATGTACCGGATCATGGGGAGGGGGGGGGGG